ACCTTTACATTAATGTACTATTAATGTTAAACCCGATTTTTAATAAAACCTTATAGATGGCCAGGCGCAGTGGTTCAAGCCTGTAATCCCAGCATTTTGGGAGGCCAAGGCGGGTGGATCATGAGGTCAGGAGTTCAAGACAAGCCTGACCAACATGTTGAAACCCCGTCTCTACTAAAAATACAAAAATTAGTGAGGTGTGGTGGTGCATGCCTGTAGTCCCAGCTACTCGGGAGACTGAGGCAGGAGAATCGCTTGAACCCAGGAGGGGTAGGTTGCAGTGAGCTGAGATTGCGCCACTGTACTCCAGCCTGGGCAACAGAGCAATATTCTGTCTGAAAACAAAAAACAAACCTTATGGACACATTTTCCTGATTTTAATGTTTAGTAGAGATGGGGTTTCACTATGTTGAATCATAAAATTAGATTCTTTTTCTGGGTTCAAGAAATTATCCTGTCTCAGCCTCCCAGTAACTGGAATTACAGGTGTACACCACCACGCCTAGCTAATTTTTGTTTTGGAGAGGTGGGGTTTCACCATGTTGGTCAGGCTGGTCTTGAATTCCTGACCTCAGGTGATCTGCCCGCCTCCTCTTCCCAGAGTATTAGGATTGTAGGTGTAAGCCACCACACCCAGCCTATCCACTTTTAATTAAGCTGACTTTTAACTATAGTGCTCTTTAAAAAAGAAATCCTTTCAAATCTCTTATTACCCGACTTTAGCCATGCCAAGAAGCTAATATTTCTAGCCTCTGAACTTTACCAAAGGTAACCTCCTAGGTGCTTAGAGAAAGGAAAATTTAAGTCAGTCTGTGGAGAAGAAAGGAATAGACAAATTCACACAGGTATTAAACCAGAAACGACTTACTTCTTAGAGGGGGACTCGAACCCGACTGACATTGTGAAAGTGTAAAAACCTCAGTTACTGAGCTACAGCATGGGACAGTGCCTACTTCCTTTCACAGAAGTCTAGAGTAGTTCATTTTGAGCTTACAAAGGCTTTTAACTATTTAATATGATTTTTGGAGCTGACTATGACATGAGCCCTAATATTCCTGTTCTCTGGAAGGCAGAGACCAAGAGAAGGTACCGCCACATGGTTAAAAGGTCAAGCTCCCAAGGACATAAAACAAGGTGGACACTTCATCCAGTTTGTTTGTTTCAGGGACCTGCAGCTGTTTGTTACTGACAGCTTACTGGGTCGTCTCAAAAAACAGGCTGACAGGTGTTTTAAGCCCATGTTTTATCCTACAGAAAAATGAATTCATAGCACAAAATATACCAGCTTAAGACTAGCCTTAGAATTCTTTTTCACACTAATCAAAACTTTACAGAGGAGATAAACACTGACTTACTTATTTTTTACCATTCATTCAACCATTTGCACAGAGAGAAAGAAGCCAGAAATCTGACTCATAACGAATTCTTATCCTATTGCTGGCATGCCAGGCTCCTGGGCTCTCTTTCTCTGAGTGGTTCTAGTGATCTGGCTTATGGCACCATCGTCTTGGGGGCCAAGCTGCATTATAAAGGAAAATTACTTTTTTTCATTCTGACCAGAGCAAAATAAAACACAGACATCAGCCACTCTGCTAAGCACCAATATTAAACTGGCAAGGCTTAAATTTGTCCCCAGATGGGCCCTATCATCTTTAATGCAACCTCTGACTTGGAGTTTCAACATGTGGCCTCTGGACAAGATGGTTGTCCTGAGTAACAGAAAACATAAAGGTAAAGGAAAAGCAAGGAAGGTGAAATGATGAGGGTTGCCCAAGAAAGACCCACCCATTGTAGTGACACTGAACAGTTCAGACAGCTGCAGCTGCTGTCGTGAATGGATTTTTTTCCAGCAGTCCGGTCAGCTCTCAAGTTTCCCTTTTTGGGGGAGGAAAAAGCTCCCCCTGTCCCACAATCCTGTACATACCTAACCCTGTCACCCACAGCCATCAGCAAAGAGTGCAAGGCAGATTAATCCAAAGAGAATAGCAGTTAACATCCCATGGTGCCGAACTTGTTCCTAGCCGAGACGGACTTTACTGAGGGGGGTCTCTAACCCCCTAAAGCTTAGAAGGGACACCAGCCCTTTTAAGTTGAGCCTCTAACCCAAGGTCAAGCATTCTTGCCTTTTATTAAGAGAGGCCTCTAACTCACTCTGTCTTAGAGGAGAGACTCTAACTCCCGTAAGTTGGGTGTCTAACCCAATCCCATTCTTTTTTTTTTTTTTTTTTTTTTGAGATGGAGTCTCGCTCTGCTGCCAGGCTGGAGTGCTATGGTGTAATCTCAGCTCACTGCAACCTCCACCTCCCAGGAGCAAGCAATTCTGCCTCAGCCTCCCAAGTAGCTGGGACTACAGGTGCATGCCACCACACCTGGCTAATTTTTGTATTTTTAGTAGAGAGAGGGTTTCACCATGTTGGGCAGGACGGTCTCAATCACTTGCCCTCATGATCCACCCACCTCAGCCTCCCAAAGTGTTGCGATTACAGGCGTGAGCCACCATACCTGGCCCCCAATCCTTTCTTTCTTTTTTTTTTTTTTTTTCTTTTTTTGAGATGGAGTTTCGCTCTTGTTACCCAGGCTGGAGTGCAATAGCCTGATCTCAGCTCACTACAGCCTCTGCCTCCTGGGTTCAAGAGACTCTCCTGTCTCAGTCTCCCAAGTAGCTGGGATTACAGACATGCGCCATCACGCCTGGCTAAATTTATATTTTTAGTAGAGACAGGGTTGCTCCATGTTGGTCAGGCTGGTGTCAAACTCCCAGCCTCAGGTTCTCTGCCCACCTTGGCCTCCCAAAGTGCTGGGATTACAGGCGTGAGCCACCGCACCCAGCTTGCCATGGCATTTGTAAACTGTCATGGCACTGTTAGGAGTGTAGCAGTGAGGACAACCAGAGGTCACTCTTGTCACCATTTTGGTTTTGGCTGGCTCCTTTACTGCAACCTGTTTTATCAGCAAGGTCCTTATGACCTGTATTTTGTGCCAACCTCCTATCTCATCCTGTGACTTAGAATGCCTTAACTGTCTGGGAATGCAACCTACTAAGTTTTAGCCTCATTTTACCCACCTCTTATTTAAGATGGAGTTGTTCTGATTCATATGCCTCTGACGAAACCATTTAATTTTTTTTTTTTTTTTTTTTTTTTTTTTTTTTTTTTTTTGAGACGGAGTTTCACTCGTTACCCAGGCTGGAGTGCAATGGCGCGATCTCGGCTCACTGCAACCTCCGCCTCCTGGGTTCAGGCAATTCTCCTGCCTCAGCCTCCTGAGTAGCTGGGATTACAGGCACGAGCCACCATGCCCAGCTAATGTTTTGTATTTTTAGGAGAGACGGGGTTTCACCATGTTGACCAGGATGGTCTCGATCTCTCGACCTCGTGATCCACCCGCCTCGGCCTCCCAAAGTGCTGGGATTACAGGCTTGAGCCACCGCGCCCGGCTCCATTTAATTTAAAGAGTCATAAATATGTGAAAAAGAGAATTATGTCTTTATCAATTTCCAAAAATTTCTATTGCCAGTGATGAATAACAGTGTTCCTTGCACACGAATTTAGCCAAAAATATGTCTCCAGAAGTGGACCCCATCTCCATTCCTTGACTATTGTCTTTCCTTTTCTTTTCTTTTTTTTTTGAGATGAAGTCTTGCTCTGTTGCCCAGGCTAGAGTGCAGTGGCACAATCTCATCAGCTCACTGCAACCTCCGCCTCCCGGGTTCAAGCAATTGTCTGCCTCAGCCTCCTGAGTACCTAGGATTACAGGCGTGTGCCACCATGCCCAGCTAATTTTTGTATTTTTAGTAGAGACAGGGTTTCACCATCTTGGCCAGGCTGGTCTCGAACTCGTGACCTCAAGTGATCTGCCCGCCTCAGCCTCCCAAAGTGTTGAAATTACAGGCGTGAGCCACTGTGCCGAGCCTTCTTTGACTGTTTTCAACCTCAAAATTAACTCTATTGGGGAGTACTTTCTGCACACCTTGTTTCATAACCATATATACCCTCAAACCACTGAAAGCTGGACTTTATTCTCTTATTTTCATGGTCACAAAAAGAAAAAAAAGTTATTGACGGGGACTACTATGACTTTGCATAATATAGCTATCTTTGCATAATCCAGCATTGTTAAAAATTCCTAACACGACTTTATTGGTCTCTTGTCTTCCATCAGGTAATGCTGGGTTGGGCAGGGGTTCACCTCTTTCCCGCCACTTAACCATCTACGCTCATTTTTTTCGTAGCCTCACCCAATATCGTGACTTGAAGTAACAGTTTACGGTAACAACTCCCAAATTCCTATGGCCACGCTCCAGCCCTACGCTGAATCATAGGCTGTGTAGATGGCACTACGCTTTGTGGTCTTACAGACGTTCCAAGCTGATCACACTCGACATGGCAGTCCTGGGCTTCCCTTCAAGCCTGCTGCACTGGCAGCCGCCCCACCGCAGGGTACGGGAAGTCCACACGTGGCGAACGCGGAGCGCATTACATCACTCGGAAGTCCCTGCGGACAAAGGAGGCCCGCGAGAGGGCGGGCTGTCTTTTCCAGCAGGTTGGGGCACACTGTCAGGCGTCCTCCTCTGGGTGGCTATTTTAACTGCTCATTTATCCTTTCCTTCTATGAAAAGATCCCGAAAAGAGGCAAAGTGAGCGAGAAGGCGCGGGCCCAGCCCACAGCAGGGTAAGCACCTTTGTTTGGGATCCGAAATCAGGGGCGAAACCCCCGTCTCCTAACCTCGATTTTCCTGAGCTAGAAGGGACCTGTCGACCCTCCGACTTGTGCCCACAGTAAAGCGGCGGCCCAAAGACGACGTGGGGGGTCTTTGTGCGCACTTGCGTGGAGTCGGATGGGCTGGGTGAGTTTCCACACCCAGTGGTTGTAAAGAAAAACTGCATTACCCAGAAGGCACCGCCCCTCGCGTCAGCCGCAGGACTCCGGGCCAATGACGGCCCAGGACAGGAGCGTTTTTCTGCGGGTGATGCGGAGGCGGGACTTCCGTTTCTTCGCGTGACGTCATCTCCCCGAGCCGGATTGGCCCCGAAACAGTGCGGGGCCTGGAGCGCTGGGTGGGCGCGTTCAGCGGCCTTAGCGGCCGAGGGTGGAGAAGCGGTTACGCCCCTTCCCCGCGTCTTGGCGGGAGCTTGACGCCCCGCTTCTTCCCTAACGGGGTGTCCCACCGGCGCCCGCCGGGGCCTAGGCCTCCGTAGCCGCCTTCCGTCTCCTCAGCTCCGACGCTGCGCCCTGGGCCTTGTGCGCATTTTTTTTCGGGGAAACTGAGGCTCGGAGTGCGAAAGTCAGCCGAGGTAGACCCGCCCAGGACGGACCAGGGCTGTGGTCGGCTGATCCGCGGCATTCTTGGGATGGCGGCGGCGTGGATGGCTCCGACGCAGGTGAGTGGAGGCTTCGGCCTTGCTGCTGCGCTGCTATTTCTGGAGGTCCCGTGGGCAGGCTGGAAGCCACGACAGCCACGGGATTCTTCTTTGTCGCCATCGCATATTTGAGAGAAGCGGCTGCGGCTTGTCATTTTCTTCATTCGCAGTCCCGCAGCAGCGTTGGCCTCCGATAGGTGTTCAGTCCGTGATTGAAAGAGGATTGTTGGTTCCTTTACGGATCTCATCGCGCTTCCCCTAAATCCAGCCTTCCCTGCTGCCTGCCGGCCCCTACGCCATCCACCTGGCCAAGCACCCCTGGCCTTGTCTCTTTGCGTTTTTTTCTGGTCCTTTGCTCTTCAGAGCCACCAGCCTGACGGTGCAGAGTCCTCTTCCCCTTCCCAGCCTTTCTCCTTGGACTTCTTTTTACCTCGAACACCGCCCCTGTAACTTTTCAGGGCCTCCCTCTCACACCTTCCGGCCTCTGTCCCGATGTCACATATTTGGAGGTGCCTGTCTTGGAAATTCCGGCTAAAGTGGCGCCTTATGCCCTTGCCCAGAGTCGGGCATTTTTGTATTGAGAATCTGATGGTATGAAAGAAGCTTGTGGATTTGAGTTTGTCCAGGATGTAATGGGAGCAAAAAATAATTACGAAGAATGATAGTAACTGACTCTCATTGAGCCCTTGCTGTGGGCTGATCGGTCGGGATTAGTTAACCCTCAACTCGGTTAATCCTGAATTTTTATTTATTTATTTGTTTTTCTTTTTTGAGACAAGATTCTTGCTCCGTCGCTGAGGCTGGAGTGCAGTGGCACAACCTCGGCTCACTGCAGCTTCTGCCTTCTGGGTTCAAGCGATTCTCCTGCCTCAGCCTCTCGAGTAGCTGGCACTACAGGCACCCGCCACCAAACCCAGCAAATTTTTTTTTTTTTTTTTTTTTTTTTTTTTAGATGGAGTCTGGCTCTTGTTGCCTTTGCAGGCTGGAAGAGTTCCTTGGAGTTCCTTGCTCCTAGAATATTCTGGCCTCAGGGATACCGGCTAGTAGGACTCAGGTAGAAAAATAAGTGAACGCTCATTGTGAATTCTCCCTGGAAGCAGGGCCAGGCCCTAACCTGCTCAGGCGGTGGCAGGTGGCACCACCTCAGGTGACTCTTGGGTGAAGTGAGTGATGATGACTGTACTTCTCTGCCCTTGTCTGTGGGAGTGGCTGAAGTGGATACATGGATTTGAAATGCTTCTCATCCTCATTAACTGTATTAACTTTGCTAATGGAGAAATGTCAGGTTACATGATTAGAATATAGACCAGAGGGCCCTGGGCTCAAATCCTGCCTCTGTTGATAAGACATGTGACTTTGGGCTGGCATGGTGGCTTACACTTATAATCCCTGAACTTTGGGAGGCCGAGGTGGGTAGACTGCTTGAGCCCAGGAATTCAAGACCAGCTTGTGCAAAATGGGGAAACCCTGCCTCTAAAAAAAAAATACAAAAAATTAGCTTGGTGTGGTGTCATGTGCCTTTAGTCCCAGCTGTACAGGAGGCTGAGGTGGGAGGATCACTAGACCCCAGGAGGTTGGGGCTACAGTGAGCCAAGACCGTCCCAGTAAACTCCAACCTGGGTGACAGAGTAAAACCATTGGAAAAAAAAGAAAAAAGATAAAAAGACATGACTTTGGATAGACCGGTAGAACTTCTAGGCCCCTCAGGTCTCTGAGTGTGACATGGAGATGATGATAGTAAACTGAGGGGCTGTGGCCCTTTGCCTCAGTGTTGTGTTGTTGTTTTCTTTTTTCTTTTCTTCTTTTACAGTTTTTCTTTAGTTCTTTTGACTACTCTTTTTTTTTTTTTTTTTTTTTTTTGAGACAGAGTCTCACTCTGTTGTCCAGGCTGGAGTACAGTGGCACAGTCTTGGCTCACTGCAACCTCCACCTCCTGTGTTCAAGTAATTCTCCTGCCTCAGCCTCCCTAGTAGCTAGGATTACAAGCTCATGCCACCACACCTGGCTAATTTTTGCATTTTTAGTAGAGACGGACTCTTAACTCTGTTAGCCTGGCTGGTCTCGAACGCCTGACCTCAGGTGATCCGCCTCCCTCAGCCTCCCAAGGTGCTGGGATTACAGGCATGAGCCATCATTCTTGGCCTTGACTGTTCTTTGTTTTTTTTTGTTTTTTTTTTTTTTTGAGACAGAGTCTCACTCTGTTTCCCAAGCAGAAGTGCAGTGGTGCAGTCTCAGCTCACTGCAACCTCCGCCTCCCAGGTTCAATCGATTCTCCTGCCTCAGCCTTCTGAGTAGCTGGGATTACAGGGACCACCATGCCCGGCTAATTTTTGTATTTTTAGTAGAGATGGAGTTTCGCCGTGTTGGTCCAACTGGTTTCAACCTCCTGAACTTGTGATCCACCCGCCTCAGCCTCCTAAAGTGATGGGATTACAGGCATGAGCCACTGCACCCAGCTGACTATTCTTGATGCAGTGGGAAACACTGTTATATTGACCTGGAAATTGAGGCTCAGAGAAATGAAATGAATTCCCCAAGGTCACATAGCAGGCACATGTTGATTTCAGGAATTTGGTTTTAAACCTAAGGAGTCTGGCTCCTGAGCTGGGGACTTTCAGTCACTTTACCGTGGCATGTAAAGCTGTCTTCATAAGGCAGGCACAAGGGAGGATGGGTAAGACTCAGATGCTGTTCCCGTTATTGTTGCTGGTGTTGTTTTTACTATTATTCTTTCCAATTCCTCTGATATGTCATAGCACTTACTGTCTGTGCCTCTCAGTCCACTTGGGATTGTCCTAACCTTATTTCTATGTTAAGTGCTTCCTTCGTAGGAGCCTTCTGTCTCCTCTGCCCTTCTGTAATCCTTGCAAGGCAGTGTCCATGTTCCCCTTGACCCTGGCACAGATCTTGGCCCTTTGGAAGTGCTTGGTGATTGGGTCTTTGATTTTCTGTGCATCTTTTGCAGTGCTGGAGTGGCAGGTTCTAACCGTATTCCACAGTTCCAAAGGAAATATTACTGCGTTTGTTTGACTTTTCAGGAGTCTGTGACCTTCGAGGATGTGGCTGTGACATTCACCCAGGAGGAGTGGGGGCAGTTGGATGTGACCCAGAGGGCCTTGTACGTGGAGGTGATGCTGGAGACCTGTGGGCTTCTGGTTGCACTGGGTAAGGCCTGTCCTCTCCTGTCCTTTCCTCTCCTGCATAAGGGGCACCTGAAAATAGCTTCATTTTAGCCTCATTAATCTTCATTCTGGCTCCAGGCCTGGCTGGTGGAGTAGGTCAGGTCATGGGAGCCACTCCTGTTTCTCTTTCCCAAAGTTTCACTCTTTTTTTTTTTTGAGATTGAGTTTCAGTCTTGTTGCCTAGGTTAGAGTGCAATGGCACGATCTCGGCTCACTGCAACCTCCATCTTCCAAGTTCGAGTGATTCTACTGCCTCAGCCTCGTGAGTAGCTGGGATTACAGGCGTGTACCACCACACCCAGCTAATTTTGTATCTTTAGTAGAGGCAGGGTTTCTCAATGTTGATCAGGCTGGTCTTGAACTCCTGACCTCAAGTGATCTGCCTGCCTTGGCCTCCCAAAGTGCTGGGATTACAGGCATGAGCCATCACACCCAGCCTAATGTTTTTGACTCACCTGATTCTTCCTGATCTTTGTGTCTTTCTTAGGAAGGGTTGGCTAAGAAATATAGTTTGCTTTTGGTCATAGCCAAAGGAGAGGGATGTGTTATTAGAAAATGGGGATATTTTGCAGAACCCAAAGGCAAGATTTGTAGCCAGGCTCCTTGCGGAACTTATACTGCATTTGGAAGGAAGCGTGATTGTGCCCTGCCTTCTGGGTGTCTTGTGCTGGCTTCCCTCTATGGGTCTGCTCCTGTCACTGTCTTTTCATAGTGGCTTTTTCATAATAGCTAAGCTATTCTGTGGAACGAAGTGACCATCCAGTTCTTGTTCTCTGAGGTTCACACATTCCTTGGCACTACCCCTTCCTGCATATTTTTGTTGTTTCTCTGTTGACATTCTTCTCACTTAATTCTCCCAGCATCCCCATCCTCAGTAAGGATAGGGTCATTGCAGTGAGCACCTCAGAAGCTTAATTGATTCAGTTTAATAGATATACCTTCTTTGTAAGATGCTGTTTGTTGCATTCCTTTCTTGGTAAAAGTTCTTTCTTTTGTGAAGTGTTGATTTTGATGTTTGTGCAAATGTCTGTATGTGGCCAAAGCGCTGTTTGGAGTTCTCTCCCAGTTCTTTTTTTCAGTGGTTCATGAAATGTCAAAGTGTGGCGTCACCGCGTCTACCCCTCATTCTGGTGCTCTCTTCCCTTAGGATTGGGTTCTTCTACTCATGTCTCCTGTTCTTCTTTATAGCCTACTTGTTTTGAGGCTCCTGACACCACACAGGGGTGTTCTCCATTTCCTCTGAGCATAGCACTTGGGAAACCAGGGTCTGATCCCTCAGAGTCCAGTCCTAGCTCTACTCCTTATGAGCTGTGTGTTCCCTGCGCAAGGTACTGAACTTCTCTGTGCCTTAATTTTCTTTTCAGAATTTTTGTTTCTTTATACCCATGCCAGTGCAGAGAAGTGCCTCAGTTTTCTCATGGTTGCTTGCTTTCCTGCACCTTGCAGTTACTGTATTTTTAGAAGTTGAATGTTTGTGGCAACCCTGTATTGAGCAAGTCTGTCTGACACCATTTTTCCAACACCGTGTGCTCACTTTTTGCCTGTGTCGCATTTTGGTAATTCTTGCAGTATTTCAAACGTTTTCATTAATATTGTATTTATTGTGGTGATCTGTGATCAGTGGTCTTTGATATTACTATTGTAATTGCTGTGGGGAACCATGAACTGAACCATATTAAAAGAGCTTTATCAACAAATGTTTTGTTTGTTCTCACTTCTCCACTTATTGGCCATTCCTCTCTCTCCTTGGGCCTCTGTATTCTCTGAAATACAACAGTAATTCAGTTAAGTAAATTAATAACCCTACAATGCAAGCCAGATGCCTCTACTCCCAGCTACTCAGGAGGCTGAGATGAGAGGATTGCTTGAGGCCAGGAGTTCAAGACCAGCCTGGGCATCATAATAAGACCCCATCTCTTTTTTTTTTTTTTTTTTTTTTTTTTTTTGAGACGGAGTTTCGCTCTTGTTACCCAGGCTGGAGTGCAATGGCGCGATCTCGGCTCACCGCAACCTCCGCCTCCTGGGTTCAGGCAATTCTCCTGCCTCAGCCTCCTGAGTAGCTGGGATTACAGGCACGTGCCACCATGCCCAGCTAATTTTTGTATTTTTAGTAGAGACGGGGTTTCACTATGTTGACCAGAATGGTCTCGAACTCTTGACCTCGTGATCCACCCGCCTCGGCCTCCCAAAGTGCTGGGATTACAGGCTTGAGCCACCGCGCCCGGCCCCTTTTTTTTTTTTTTTGAGATGGAGTTTCGTTCTTGTTACCCAGGCTGGAGTGCAATGGCGCGATCTCGGCTCACCGCAACCTACGCCTCCTGGGCTCAGGCAATTCTCCTGCCTCAGCCTCCTGAGTAGCTGGGATTACAGACACGCGCCACTATGCCCAGCTAATTTTTTGTATTTTTAGTAGAGACGGGGTTTCACCATGTTGACCAGGATGGTCTCAATCTCTTGACCTCGTGATCCACCCGCCTCGGCCTTCCAAAGTGCTGGGATTATAGGCGTGAGCCACCGTGCCCGGCCAAGACCCCATCTCTTTTACTTTTTGAATTAGCTGTAACTTATATGCTATGTAGTACAAAAATCTTAAGAAGTCCACACACTGAGGCCGAGCACAGTGGCTCACGCCTATAATCTCAGCACTTTGGGAGGCCAAGGTGGGCAGATCACCTGAGGTCAGGAGTTTGGACCAGCCTGGCCAACATGGCGAAACCCTGTCTCTATTAAAAATATAAAAATAGGCCGGGCGTGGTTGCTCACGGTGAGCCGAGATCGCGCCATTGCACTCCAGCCTGAGTAACAAGAGCGAAACTCCGTCTCAAAAATAAAATAAAATAAATAAATAGAAATAAAAATCTAAAAATTAGCTGGATGTGGTGGCAGGCGCCTGTAATCCCAGCTATTCAGCAGGCTGAGGTAGGACAATTGCTTGAACCTGGGAGGTAGAGGTTGCAGTGAGCCAGGATCACACCACTGTACTCTGGCCTGGATGACAGAGCGAGGCCCCATCATAAAAAAACCAAACAAAACATCATTCCCTTTTATTCTTTGAGTCCATGTGATAGGTTTCTGTGTATCACAGCACAGAAACTGTTGTAAGGTTACTACTTTTATTCCTAATTTTCAAATACAACAGTTACCATAAGGATAACTGATGATGGCCCACAATTTACCAGTCTCTTATGTAGTGTCTAGCACTGTGCCAAGTGCTTTATAGAAATTCCTGGCTGGGCGCGGTGGCTCAAGCCTGTCATCCCAGCACTTTGGGAGGTCGAGGCGGGCGGATCACCAGGTTAAGAGATCGAGACCATCCTGGCCAACATTGTGAAACCCCGTCTCTACTAAAAATACAAAAATTAGGTTGTGGTGAGTCGAGATCGTGCCATTGCACTCCAGACTGGGTAATGAGCAAAACTCCGTCTCAAAAAAAAAGAATACAGAAATTAGCTGGGCGTGGTGGTGTGCTCCTGTGGTCCCAGCTACTCGGGAGGCTGAGGCAGAAGAATTGCTTGAACCCGGGAGGCGGAGGTTGCAGTGAGCTGAGATTTTGCTACTGCACTCCAGCCTGGCGCCTGGCGACAGAGTGAGACTCTGTCTCTAAATAAATAAATAAATAAATAAGAAATTCCCTCTGCTTTTTTTTTTTTTTTTTTTTTTTTTTGAGACAAAGTCTCACTCTGTCACCCAGGCTGGAGTGCAGTGGCATGATTTTGGCTCACTGCAACCTCCGCCTACTGGGTTCAAGCGATTTCATGCCTCAGCCTCCTAAGTAGCTGAGACTACAGATGTCTGCCACGATGCCCGGCTAAGTTTTTCTGCTTTTAGTAGAGATGGGGTTTCACTATGTTGGCCAGGCTGGTCTCAAACTCCTGACTGCAGGTGATCCACTCGCCTCGGCCTCCCAAAGTGCTGGGATTACAGGCATGAGCCACCACACCCAGCCAGGAATTTCCCCCTTTTTTAAGAGACAGAGTCTTGTTCTGTTGTCAAGGCTGAAGTGCAGTGGCACCAGCATAGCCCACTGTAGCCTTAAACTCCTGGGCTCAAGCAATTCTCCTGCAGAGTAACTGGGACTACAGGCTCACACTACAATGTCTGACTAATTTATTAATTTTTTTATAAAGACAGGGTATTGCTATATTGCCCAGGCTGGTCTTGAACTCTGGGCCTCAAGCAATTCTTTGGCCTTAGCCTCCAAAAGTAAGGGGATTACAGGCATGAGCCACCATGCCCAGTCAATAATTTTCCTATTTAACCCTCATCAGAGCCTATGAGACAGAATCTGAGAGTTTCTGTTTTTCAGATGAGGAAATGGAGACAAGGGTCAACTAAATCGTTTCTCTTCTGTACCAGCTGACTTGGTACAGGCAAGATTTGAACTGAGATGTTCTGACTCCAGAGCTACAGTCTTAACCTCCCTTCACTATGAACTCATGATTCAGCAGAGTTTTCATATTTTGTGCTTGCACGTCTGACCCTCTTAGATTCTCTTTCCCTGTTCTCAGTGGACTTTGGTTTTCTTCTTACTCTGATATTCGCTTTTAAGTTGGCTTCATCAGTTATCTCATAGCCCATCCTTTTTACTCTTAAATACTCTTCAAGGCTAATCTACACATTGTTTTTATTTATTTTTGTTTTTATTTTGTTTTATTTTTTGAGACAGTCTTGCAGTGTTGGCTGGGCTGGAGTGCAATGGTGCAGTCTGGGCTCACTGCAACCTCTGCCTCATGGAGTTCACACAATTCTCCTGCCTCAGCCTCCTGAGTAGCTGGGATTACAGGTGCACACCACAACACCCGGCTAATTTTTTGTATTTTTAGTAGAGAAAATAATAAAGGGGTTTCACTATGTTGGCTAGACTGGTCTCAAACTCCTGACCTCGTGATCCACCTGCCTCGGCCTCCCAAAATGCTAGGATTACAGGTGTGGACCACCGTGCCTGGCCTATTTTTATTTATTATTATTACTATTTTTTTTTTTTTTTTTTTTTTTTTGAGACGGAGTTTCGCTCTTGTTACCCAGGCTGGAGTGCAATGGCGCGATCTCGGCTCACCGCAACCTCCGCCTCCTGGGCTCAGGCAATTCTCCTGTCTCAGCCTCCTAAATCGCTGGGATTACAGGCACGCGCCACCACGCCCAGCTAGTTTTTATTTTTAGTGGAGACAGGGTTTCACCATGTTGACCAGGATGGTCTCGATCTCTCGACCTCGTGATCCACCCGCCTCGGCCTCCCAAAGTGCTGGGATTACAGGCTTGAGCCACCGCGCCCGGCCTATTACTATTTTTTTTAAGAGGTGGGGTCTGGCTATGTTGCCCAGGCTGGTCTCGATCTCCTAGCCTCAACTCATCCTCCCAGTAGCCAGGATTACAGGCAGGAACCTATCAGATTATGTCTTTTTCTAGTGTTTTCAGGTTATTGTTTTTCAGGGCTGTATTTAATTTCTGGATCAATTTTGAGAGAGTTGATAACTTTATATTATTAATTTCTTCATTCAAGTAGATGTTTATTGTCTTGAAATAAAGTTTCACAATTTTCTTTTTCAAGATCCCCTTACTTGTTAGCCTTTTCACCTATCTTTCACCCTGACACAGTGGATTCTATATGTCTACCAGGAATCTGTTCTCCCTCTGTCCTAGGAGCTCTGTCCTGGGAGTAGCTATGGCTGTCACTAGCTGTCCCTCAGGCAGAATCTTGAGCATCAACACTTCCTCTCTGCCCCTTCCTGTCTCTGAATCCTGACCAACTTTAACTTCTCATGGGCTGCCTCCTCTCACTTCAGTTCCCTGGATTCTCTGAAACTGTGTTTTTATATATGCTATGTCCTAAGGCTACTGTGACCTTCCCCATTTCTCTATATGGCAACCTCACCTCTCCATGAGACATAAGCTCATGAAGCATCCTGTCTGGGAAGCCTCCTTACCTCTTCCTGTCCCTACCCTATCTAGGCTACATTAAGTGCCCCTTCCCTGGCCTCTTGTAGCATCTTGACATCTTGCTTTGAGCAAGCTCACCATACAGTGTCATCATTATGATGTTCACCTAGTCTGTCTTGACTGTGAGTGGGGATCTCTATTCTAGACACTCTGTTCTCTGCTTGAGCCTCTACCTCTGGGCTTCTCTTTAAAATTTCAAGAGTTGGCTAAGCATGGTGACTCATGCCTGTAATCCCAGCACTTTGGAGGCAGAAGTGGGTGGATTGCTTGAGGCCAGGAATTCGAGACTTGACAACATGGTGAAACCCCATCTCTTTTAAAAAAAAAAAAAAATTGGCCAGGTGTGGTGACTCACACCTATATTTCCAGCATGTTGGAATTCCTGGGTGGGCAGATCACCTGAGGTCAGATGCTCCAAACCAGTCTGGCCAATATGATGAGACCCCATCTCTACTGAAAATACAAAACAATTAGCCTGGCATGGTAATGCACACCTGTAATCCCAGCTACTTGGGAAGCTGATTCAGGAGAATCGTATGAACCCAAGAGGCAGAAGTTGCAGTGAGCTGACATCACGTGACTGCACTCCAGCCTAGGCAACAGAGTGAGGCTCCATCTCAGAAAAAAAGAAAAAAAAAAAAAAAAAAAAAAAAAAGCCAGGCATGGTGGCATATGCCTGTAGTCCTAGCTACGTTGGAAGCTGAGGTGGGCAGATCACCTGGGATCCACCCACCTCAGCCTCCCAAACCAAAGTGCTGGGATTACAGGTGTAAGCCACCACTCCTGAGCTTTTTTTTTTGAGATGGGTTTCCCTCTGCCACCCAGGCTGGAGTGCAGTGGCTCAGTCTCTACTCACTGCAATCTCCACCTCCCAGGTTCAAGCAGTTCTCCTGTCTTAGCCTCCCAAGTAGCTGGGATTATAGATGCCTGCCACCATGCCTGGCCAATTTTTGTATTTTTAGTAGATATAGGGTTTCACCATGTTGGCTAGGCTGATCTTGAATTCCTGACCTCAAGTGATCCACTCGTCTCAGCCTCCCAAAGTGCTAGGATTACAGACATGAGCCACTGTACCCAGCACATCAAATCATAGCTATTTTATTTTATATTTTATTCATTTTATTTTTTTTCTTTCTCTTTTATTTATTTATTTATTTATTTATTTATTTTTTTTGAGACAGAGTTTCGCTCTTGTTACCCAGGCTGGAGTGCAATGGCGCGATCTCGGCTCACCGCAACCTCCGCCTCCTGGGTTCAGGCAATTCTCCTGCCTCAGCCTCCTGAGTAGCTGGGATTACAGGCACGTGCCACCATGCCCAGCTAATTTTTTGTATTTTTAGTAGAGACGGGGTTTCACTATGTTGACCAGGATGGTCTCGATCTCTTGACCTCGTGATCCACCCGCCTCAGCCTCCCAAAGTGCTGGGATTACAGGCTTGAGCCACCGCGCCCGGCTATTTATTTATTTTTTAATGAATGAGAGGTTCTTATGTTGCACAGATTGGTTGGCCTTGAACACATAGCCTCGGCTCCTCAAGTGCCAGGACAAGTGGCATGAGCCACCACAACCCCTATTTTATTTTTTTATTTTATTTTAAAAGGCGTCTCACTCCGTTGCCCAGGCTGGAGTACAGTGGTGCAGTCTCAGCTCACTGCAACCTCCACCTCCCAGGTTTATGCAATTCTCCTGCCTCAACCTCCTGAGTAGCTGGGACTACAGATGCATGCTACCATGCCTGGCTAATTTTTTGTACTTTTAGTAGAGATGGGATTTCACCCTGTTAGCCAGGATGGTCTTGATTTCTTGACCTCATGATCTGCTCGCCTTGGCCTCTCAAAGTGCTGGGATTACGGACATGATCCACTGCGCCCGGCCAAATCATAGCTATTTTCAAATCATCACTATTTTCATCTTACTTTTCTCATCGAAATGGTGGTTTCATTTCTTCTATACTATCTTAATATGCTCTTTTGTGTATTGTATTCCCTTCAGGTGATAGCACAAAACCTGAGACCTTAGAGCCTATCCCTTCTCACTCGGCCTTGCCTGAGGAAGTCTCACTCCAAGAACAGCTGGCACAGGGAGTCCCAGGATACTCCCAGTGGGGGCAGGCCATGGATCAGGATGGGCCATCTGAAATGCAGGAAGACTTCTGGAGACCAGGGACAGACCCACAGAGTGAGAACCTCCACGGGGAATTGAGCCTTGAACATGAAGGTTTGGCGACAGCTGATGGTACGTGTTCAATGATTCTACAGAAACAAGTCTCACCAGTAGATGCTCTCTATGGATTTGAGTCATATGGACCAGTTACAGATTCCTTGATTCATGAAGGGGAAAATTCCTATAAATTTGAGGAAGTGTTTAATCAGAATTGCTTCCTTGTTCAGCATGAGCAGATTCACACTCAAGTGAAGCCCTACGATTGCCCAGAATGTGGGAAAGCCTTCGGGAAGACCAAACACCTCCTTCAGCATCACATCATCCATACTGGGGAGAAGCCCTATAAATGCATGGAGTGTGGGAAAGACTTCAACCGCAGGTCACACCTCACACGACACCAGCGGACTCACAATGGAGATAAGCCTTTTGTGTGCAGTGATTGCGGAAGGACCTTCAACCGCGGGTCACACCTTACACGGCACCAGCGGGTTCACAGTGGAGAGAAACCTTTTGTGTGCAATGAATGTGGAAAGGCCTTTACCTACCGCTCCAATTTTGTCTTGCATAACAAAAGCCACTATGAGAAAAGACCCTTCACATGCAGTGAATGTGGAAAAGGCTTTTATGAGAGTACAGCCCTCCTTCAACACTTCTTTATCCATACCGGGGAGAAGCCCTTTAAGTGCCTTGAGTGTGGGAAGGCCTTCAATTGCAGGTCACACCTCAAGCAGCACGAGCGGATTCACACTGGGGAGAAGCCCTTTGTGTGCAGTCAATGTGGAAAGGCTTTCACTCACTATTCCACCTATGTCTTGCATGAAAGAGCCCACACTGGAGAAAAACCTTTTCAGTGCAAAGAATGTGGGAAAGCCTTTAGCATTCGAAAAGACCTCATTCGACACTTCAACATCCACACTGGAGAGAAGCCCTACGAGTGTTTACAGTGTGGAAAGGCTTTTACCCGCATGTCAGGGCTCACAAGGCACCAGTGGATTCATACTGGAGAGAAGCCCTATGTATGCATCCAATGTGGGAAAGCGTTTTGTCGGACCACAAACCTCATTCGACACTTCAGCATCCACACTGGAGAGAAGCCCTATGAGTGTGTGGAGTGTGGGAAGGCCTTCAACCGCAGGTCACCCCTCACAAGGCACCAGCGGATTCACACTGCAGAGAAGTCCCATGATCACATCCAGAGTGGGAACGTTTCTTGCCAGAGCACAGATCTCATTCAACAGTCCATGATCCACACTGAGAGTAGCCCAGTGAGTGCAGTGGATGTGGAAACACCTTCGATGGCCGCTCATTCCTCCTCACTTGACATCAATGGATTCATGCTGGAAGAAACCCTACCATTGTAACAGATGTGGGAAGACTTTTTACACACACTTCAGTCAACATCCAAGAATTCCTGTTAGGGAAAGAGGTTTTAATATAACCACTGAAGAAAATCTGTGGTGAGAGGAAACGTCTTACCATCTGGTCATTCATAGTGAAGAGAAACTCAATAAGCATCATCTCTGTGGGAAAACCTGTTTTAGATGATCATTTGTCACCTAAACAATTATGTTAGAAATTGACACAATCAAGAGTCTTATTCTACACTTGATAATTCACCCATGAGAGAGACCCAATGGTTATTGTGCACTTAAGAAAACCTTCAGCCACATCTTTCTTGTTAGTTTACAGTGAAATGTTATCTCAGGGACATTCAAACAAAGGAGGAGGAGACATAGGGAAGAGAAAGAAATGGAAGCACAGCTTCTTTCAGACTTCCCTGACAGGCCCATGGCAATTTGTCATCCCCTCCTTATTTTATTTGGGAGAGGGAAATGTTTCAGAAACAAAAGGGCCTCATCCCCTTTATTTTCCCTGTGTATACATTCACTGCTGTCCAGCGTCAGGACAGTTAGACAGATGGTTTGTTTGAAAACATTTTGTGAAAGCCTACTTTGTTCCACAGCATTGTTTCCAATCTTGAGGAGCAGAAGCATATATCTTTATGAGAAAGATGGAGGCTCGAGTTATGAAATACTTTTACATTTAAGGAGATAAGGATGTACAATGAATGGGCACATTTTACTGCATACTTAAGATGCTTTGATGTTTTTTAAAAAAATGTTTCTCCATGTGTCTTTAACCATCCAGTACACATACTGTTTTCTTGATCTGTATCAACTTTCTTTTTCTTCATTTTTCTGTGGGATGGAGATGAAATTGTAGTTGTTTGTATATAATGTAATCCTGCGGTGGGGGGGTCCTGAATTCCCTCTGATTGTGGTTTCTCAGCTTCTTTACTCCTTTGGAGAGAGTAAAGAGTTCAGAGTTCACCTCAGCAGTTTTTTAGAGGTCAATTTGGAACTAAAAATGAAATCAAACGTGTAGCTAAATTAAGCTAAGGATTATGATAAACTCAAAATAAACACAGAGAAGGAATCTCATTTTCAATCTTACAGAAGATTGTGTGAAGGCTGACTATAAAGTGACTGGAATTTCAGCAGGTAAACCTGCATGTGTATATGCAGGTAGTGGTCACCATAGATTTAGTCCAGTCATCATAATATGTTTTATGAGAATATATTGGAATTTCTCTTTTGGTATTCTTTTTGTTTATTATTGTTAATTGACATGTAATGTAGAGTTCAACATGATATTTCAATACATGTGTGCAAAGAGTAAAGATCAAATCAGGGTTATTAGCATATCCATCTCCTCAAGCATTTATCATTTCTTTGTGTTTAGAAACATTCACAATCTGCTCTTCTAGGTATTTGAAAATATAAACTGACTGTTGCCAATTGTACTCATCCCATAGTGCCACAGAACACTAGAACTTATTCAGATGGAATTTGACTTGCTGTAATCTTATATTTGTTAACCAATCTCTATCTGCCTCCCTGCTATCCTTCCTAGCCTCTGGTAACCACCATTCTACTCAACTTTTTATGCTTCCATATAAGTAGAAACATTTAGTATTTCTCTTTCTGTGCCTAACTTAATGTCTTTAAAGCTCATTCATGTTGCTGTGAATGACAGGTTTATTTTTTATGGCTGAGTAGTATTCCACTGTGTATATATGCCATGTTTTCTTTCTTCATTCATCTGTTAATGGACACTTAGATTAATTTCTTAGCTATTATGAATAGTGTTTCAATAAACATAGGAGTGTAGACCTTTGACATACGGATTTTTTTTTCTTGGACATATGCCCAGTAGTGGTATAGATCATTACCACTGGATCATATGATAGTTGTATTTTTTAACTTTTGTTTAATTTTTTAAAATGGGGTCTTACTGTATTGCTCAGGCTGGTCTCAGACTCCTGGGCTCAAGCAGTCCTCCACATCAGCCTCCTGGGTAGCTGGGACTACAGGTGCATAACACTGTGCCTGGCTGTAGTTTTAGTTTCTTGAGGAACATCCATACTGTTTTCCATGTGGCTATACTAATTAACATTCCTGCCAGCCATATATAAGAGTTCCCCCTTTTCCATGTTGTCAGCAGCATTTTTAATTTTTTATCTTTGGTAACAGTTATATCTCATTGTGGTTTTGATTTTTATTTCCCTGATTAGCTATGTTGAGTATTTTTTCATATACTTGGCCATTTGTATGTCTCCTTTTGAGGGATATCTATTCACCTTCCTTGCCCATTTTAAAATCAGATTTTTAAAAATTACTATTGAGTTCCTTGTGTATTCTGGATATTAATCCCTTTCAGATGAATAGTTTGCGAATATTTTATCCCACTCTGCTCGTTTTCATTCTGTTGTTTCCTTTGCTGTGCAGAAGTTTTTTAGTTTAATATAATCCCTTTGTTTAACTGTGCTTTTGTTACCTTGATTTTTAGGTCTTTATAAAATCTTTGCCCAGACCAGTATCCTGAAGCATTTTCCGTTCTCGTCTAGTAGTTTCATAGTTTTTGCTCTTACATTTAAGTTTTTAAACCATTTTGAGTTGATTATTTATCCCACGAGCATAGATTCAAATTGCCCTAAAAATACATTCCCAATTTTTGTTTTTGCTTTTTAATTATTTTTTAGAGACATGATCTCACCATGTTGGTCCTGAACTCCTGGACTCAAGTGAGCCTGTAAACTCAGCCTTCTGAGTAGCTGGGATTACTGGTATGAGCCAGCATACTTGGTGTTTTGAGTTGATTTTTGCATATGGTGAGAGATAAGAGTCTAGTTTCATTCTTCTGCATATGCATATGAATATCCAGTGTCCCAGCACCATTTATTGAAGAGACTATCCTACTCCCAATGAATGTTCTTTGTGCCTTTATTAGAAATCAGTTGGCTGTAAATGGGATTTATTCTGGGCTTTCTGTTTTGTTCCATTGGTCTGTGTGGTTTCTTAAAATTTCCCTTACCATGCAGTTTCGGTTACCATGGCTTTGTAGTATATTTCAAGGTTGGTTAGTGTGACACCTCCCATTTTTTTATTTTTGCTCAGGATTGCTGTGGATATTCAGTATCTTTTGTGATGTTATATGAATTTTAGGATTACTATTTCTATTTCTGTGAAAAATATTATTGGTATTTTGTTAGAGAGTACATGGAATCCGTAGTTCATTTGAGGTAGTATGTTCATTTTTTTAAATAAGGAAAGTATGTTCGTGTTTATAATATTAACTATTAAAATCCATGATCATGGGATGTTTTTCCATTTTTATGTGTGCCCTCTTTGATTTACTTCATCAGTATTATATAGTTTCCTTGTATTCTTAGTGTTTTATTTTTGGTGAAATATTGTAAATGGGATTGCTTTCTTAATTTCTTTTTCAGCTAATTCATTGTTGGTGTATAGAAGTGCTACTGATTTTTGCATGTTGATTTTATATCCTGTAACTTCAGTGAATTTGTTTATCAGTCCTAAGAGTTTTTTGGTGCTACTTTTGGAGTTTAGGGTTTTCTGATCCTGTCATGTGCATACAGGGATAATTTGACTTTATCCTTTCTTATTTGCATGCCCTTTATTTATTTCTCTTGCCTGATTCCTCTATCTCAGACTTCCTCTACTTTGTTTCAAAAAAGTATACCCACTTTCACACCTTTGTTTGTTTCAGATTGTAGAGAGAAAGCTTTCAGCTCTTTCCCATTAGGCATGATATTAGCTGTGGGTTTGTTATTTATTACCTTTATTACGTTGAGGTACATTCTTTCTATTAATATGTATAATTTGTTAAGAGTTTTCATCATGAAGGGATATTGAATGTTACCAGAGGCTTTTTCTCCATCTATGGAGAGGATCACATCATTTTTGTTCTTCATTCTGTTGATGTATCATGTTTTTTGTTTTGTATATGTTGAACCATTCTTGCATCCCTGGAATCAAATTCACTTGGTCATGGTAAACAATCTTTTTGATGTATTTTTTGATTTGGTTGGCTAGTATTTTGTTGAGGATCTTTATATTTATGTTCATCAGGAAGATTGGCCTGTAGTTTTCTTTTGCATGTGTGCATCCTTGTCTGGTGCTTGTATCGTGGTAATGCTGGCTTGTGGAATGAGTTTAGAATAATTCCCTCCTCTTCATTCTGGGAAAGTTTGAGAAGAATTCATATTTAATTTTTCTAAAACATTTGATAGCATTCAGCAGTGAAGCCATCATCATAGACTTTCCTTTGATGGGTGACTTTTTATTACTGATTCAATCTTGTTACTCAGAATTGGTCAGTTCAAGTTTTCTCTTTCTTCTTGGTTCAATCCTGATGGGTTGTATGTGTCCAGGAATTTGTCTTCTGTAGGTTTTCCAATTTTTTGATTTGTAGTTGTATATAATAGTCTCTAATAACTATTTTTGTGTGTATTTGATTTTATATGGGTTTTATCTCTTGGTTAGTTGAATGGTTTATCATCTTCAAAAAACCAACTTTTCATTTCATTGATCCTTTGAATTTTTTTAAGTCTCAGTTTTATTTATTTCTGTTCTGATCTTTGTTATTTCTTTCCTTGTAATTTTGGGTTTGGTTTGTTCTTTTCTAGTTCCTTAAGAAGCATTGTTAGATTTTTTTTTTTCTTTTTTTAAGAGACAGGGTCTTACTCTGTTGCCTAAGCTGGAGTGTAGTAGCACAATCAATTCAAACTTCTGGGCTCAAGTGATCCTCACACCTCAGTTTTGAACTCCTGGGCTCAAGCAATTCTCTCACCTCTGCCTCCAGAATAGCTAGGACTACAGGCATGCACTACCATGACCAGCTATTTTTTTTTTTTTTTTTTTTTTTTTTAGAGATAGTGTCTTGCTGTATTACCCAGGCTGGTCTTGAACTCCCGGCGTTAAGTCATCCTTCTGCCTTGGCCTCCCAGAGCACTGGAGTTTCAGGTGTGAGCCACCACATCCAGCCAGATCTTCCTTGTTTTTGATATGGGTGTTTATTGCTATATACTTTTATCTTAAAACTCCTCTTGCTGCATCCCATACATTTTTACATGTTGAGTTTTTATTTTCATTCATTTTAAGACATTAATTGTTTTTCTTAATTTCTTCATTTACTCATTGGTCATTCAGAATCATGTTACTTAATTTCCATTTATTTGTACTGTTTTAAAAGTTCCTCTTGTTACTGATTTCTAGTTTTATTTCATTGTGGTTAGAAAGGTACTTGATGTGATTTTAATTCTTTTAATTTTTGTGATTTGTTTTGTGGCTTACCATGCGATCTCTCCTTGAAAATATTGCATGTGCTTATAAAAAAATGGGTGTTCTGTAGCCGTTGGATGAAAAGAACTGTCAGTGTCTTTTAAGTCCATTTGGTCTAAAGTCAGTTTAAACTCAATGTTTCTTTGTTGATTTTCTGTGTATATGATTTGTCCATTGCTGAAAGTGGGGTGTTGAAGTCCCCAAGTATTATTGTAATGAGTCTGTCTTTCCCTTTAGATCTAATAATATTTGCCTTACATATCTGGGTGCTGTGATATTGGGTGCATATATATTTACAATTTTTGTATCCTCTTTCTGATTTCATCCCTACTGTTTTTGATACAAAGTCTCTTATCTATTCTAAGTATAGCTACTCCTTATGTAGTCAGGATTATGGTTAAAAAAAAAAAAAAAAGAAAAAATGTGTAGCTATTCCTGTTGCCTTTGGTTTCCATTTGCATGGAATATATTCTGTTCCTTCACTTTCAGTCTATTTGTGTCTTTTTTTTTTTTTTTTTTTTTTTTTTTTTTTTTAAGACAGAGTCTTGCTCTGTTGCCCAGGCTGGAGTGCAGTGGTGCTATCTTGGCACACTGCAACCTCCACCTCCCGGATTTAAGCAATTCTCCTGCCTCAGCCTCCCGAGTAGCCTGGACTACAGGCATGCACCACCATGCCTGGCTGATTTTTATATTTTTAGTAGAGACAGGGTTTCACTATGTTGGCCAAGCTGGTCTTGAACTCCTGGCCTCAGGTGATTGACTCACCTTGGCCTCCCAGAGTGCTGGGATTACAGGCGTGAGCCACTGTGTCTGGCCATATTTGTGTCTTTAGGGGTAAAGTGAGTTTCTTGTAGGTAGCATATAGTTGGATCATTTAAAATATCCATTTAGCATATATCTTTTAAGATAGGAATTTAATCTGTTTACCTCAAGGTTTTTATTTTTAGGTGGAAGATTCACGCCTTTTATTGTGTTGTTTTCAGAATGCTTTGTATGTCCTGTGTTCTCTTCTTCATCTCTTATTATTTATCATTGCGTTTTGTTTTTCTGTCATGATAAGATTTGATTTTTTCTCTTTTTTCTTTGTATGTCTGCTCTACCAGTGAGTCTTATAGTTTTATGTGGTTACATAATGATAATTATTGTCTTTTTATTTCCAGATATAGCATTCCCTTGATCATTTTTTGAAAGGCTGATAGAGTGGTGATAAAGTCCCTTAATTTTTGCTTGCCTGAGACACACTATATTTCTAATTTCTCTCTCTCTCTTTTTTTTTTTTTTTTTTTTTTTTTTTTTTTTTTTGTTAAATGGCATCTTGCTCTGTTGCCCCAGCTGGAGTGCAGTGGCATGATCTTGGCTCACTGCAACCTCCATCTCCCATGTTCAAGTGATTCTCCTGTCTCAGCCTCTGGAGCAGATGGGATTATAGGCGCATGCCATCATGCCTGGTTATTTTTTTAGAGACGAGGTTTCACCTTGTAGGCCAGGCTGCTCTTGAACTCCTGAACTAAAGTAATTTGCCTGCTTCAGGATCC